TAAAGCCCCCAATTTTCCCATGTTTAGCACTGATGTGGAGTGTTTAATTTGATCACGATTCTAGATTTAGCCAATGTATGGACTTTGAAACCAGAATCAGAATGAGCAGGAAGATTGATAGGGTTCAGAAATAGTAAGTAGGCATTGAGAACTTTTAGTACTATGGGATTTTTTTTTCCCCCTAAAATTGTCCTGAAAATGTTCATGAAAGATTTCAGAGAGAGAAGTAATAAATGCAATTAACAAATAATTGAAATAAATAATTCAAAAAATAATTTCAGAGAGGGAAGAAGTCAGGTCATTCCTAGGGTCATGTTTCTGTCTGGTAGATATCAAAGACCTAGCTTAACATCTTGAGATTAGATTATTTCCTGGTGCTTCAGTGAAATTCCTTCCACAGCTACATAACTGTTTTTAAATATTCAAATCTATTAGTGAAAACACAATGGATTTTGTCACCTTAATTGATATTTTATTTCCACATATTGGCTGTCAGTTTAGTTACAAGAATCAGTTCATCTCTTGTATTTGTTGGCACTTTAATGAGAAAATATCTATATGAGAATGATCAATTCATGGGTTTTGGCATTCAGCAACCTGAGTCCCTAAACTTGTTAATTGAGATTCTTGATTGAAGACTTTACATAGCTCTTCTCTTAAGCAACCTAAAGCATAAGAAATTAATGCATCCTATGGGAAATGCAAAATGCATTGATCATTTTAATAGACCTGGAATACATTTTCTTCATTCCTGTTCCTTTGGTCCAAAATTTTAAACTAGAATGTAAAATTTACATACTTACTTTTGGGTAGGGGGGCCCACATTTACAAGCTCATGTGAAAGTTCACTACTTTAAAGTAGTTTTGATGGAAGTGTTTGGCTTATGTTATATAAATATGTTCAGCCTATTTAAAGCTAGCTGTTGTCATTGTTTTTAAAACCATTTTATTGCTGTTACTGTTCTGTTACTCTTTTCTTTTGTTTATGTCACTTCTTCCAAAACTCAGATATGGTTAGTTTCTGCTCACATGTTAGCATTTTTCAGGGCTTGACAGATAGTGAATAATACTCAGTGAAACCTGAGACAGTTTATTTAATTGCCTTGGCATCAGTTTCATTAACTGTAAATGAATATGTGATGATCCCTTAGGAAAGCAATTCTGAAATTGGGGATGAGGTGACAGGAGAAAGGTGACTTTCAAATTACATCCCCTCTCATTGCATCTAACAAGAGATGTTACTGATAGGCATGTATTATGTGTGGTTTCAAACTAGAGAAAAGAAAGGTTGCAATTCTTTTTTAGTCCTTTATTGCTTCTAGAATTTATGATTTCTGTGTTCATAATCTTTCCATGTTATTCCACATCAACAAAAGCAAATGACTCATTTTTAGAAAACTTAGTCTGCTTTGAATCCTGTCAGTTGCTGAAGAAAGGGACAAAAACACTTTAAGATGTTGAAATTGAGATAAGTCAATAATTATGACTTCTGTTTAGTGATTCAGTTCATTTTTATTCACAAAGTAATTTTGCCTTCACAGTAAGTGAAAGAGAAGTTCTTTCTACCTACCTCAGAGAAATACAAAGGGGAGTTTTACTTTTAACCTTTATTTATCAACTTTCATTTTTAACCTTCTTTCTGACAACATACTCTTTTTAACACATTAACTCATATCCCTGTCCCCCACTCTGTGTGTGTCCATGTGTGTATTTATCTTCCTATGCATCCTGTCAATACTTATACTAATAAACCATTTTTACTAATAAAAACAGCCCAGACTTTGGAAAGTAAACTTTGTGGCTTGCTTTTTTTTTTATTCCACTTATTCTAATCAAAAAAAAAATATTTTAAGCCATCTATTTTGTCCTTTCCTGAATGCTGTTATCTTGACTATAATTGCCTGGTTTCCTTTCCGGCTGATCTATTGCTAGCCTTTATCTGGATGTGATTAAAGAATATAAATGCTCCATAAAGCACCAGAATCTCAGCCAGAATATTTTCAGATTCGCAGCTAAAATGAAGTAGAACAAGGGGTTTAGCTGTTAAGTAGCTTAGATTTGTTGTCAGAGTGTGTGAGGGACTCTAAATTCATTATGCTAGTTGTTCCTACAGTGTAGCATTTGAAAAATAGCTTCCACTGTTTATGGATTGTGGTCCTCGGGCACCAGATAGTGGATGTTGGGATGTATTGCAGAAAAGCTGATTAAAGTACTAGGATCTCTAACTGCAAGAGTACAAAGTCGTCTGTAATACCTGAGTCTGGCACCTTTGGGTGTCCTTATATGTTTCCTTTTGAAAGCTTTGGTTTATTATCAGTTTAACCATGAAGGAATAACTTTTTTTTTTCCCCCCAAGAAAAGTGCCTTTTGGAGAAAACATCAATAAGCTATACTAGATGAGAAATTTATGTTAAGAGGATTGATTTGAACTTTGAAGATCCCAAATTCTGTGTGATTTTATTTCTTAGGTTATTGGAGTCATGCTTCACTGTGACTTTAATTTTAATAGTAGCTGCTTTCAGTTCTCAATTTCAGATTACTGTATCTCAGGAAATGTATAACTTACTCCAAAATATAAGCTATGCCAGAATTTATTGTCTTCACCTCCCATTACCCCCGCTTTGGGCCACTTTCCTCTCCAACAAAAAGTTCACTGGCATGGAATATAGAAAGACTTTAATCACAAAACTTTTACAAATCTTTAAATATACTTTGCATTCTCCTTTTTGAAATATTTCAGTATTTTCTCATTGTTTTCAAAATAAAGTTCAAACTTCTTAGAGTGCCATTCATGTGATCTTTCTGTTTCCTCTCTGTCTAGTTTTTACCCAGTTCCTTGTAAAATGTCCTTTTTTGAGGTTTAAAGTGGCCATTTCTGCTCTCATTTCTTTTCCTTTGGTTGCTTCCTTCTCCCCCACCCTTTATCTGAGTATCACCTGTTCTTACTTTAAAAACCCTGCACAAGTTTGCCCTCTTCCAGGAAACCTTCCTTGAACTACGATTAGCCTGCTTCTTTTTTATCCCCTTTAGACTAGCCTTTAAACTCTTTATAGCACTCTGTAAGACTCATTTCCTACTCTCATCATTGGTTTACTTGTTTGTCTTGTTTAATAGACTATTATTCCTTCAGTTCAGAAATGATAGTGTCTTTTTCAGTTTTGAATCTGGCCTATAGACCTTTCAAATAAATGTTTTTTGACTAAATTAGTGACTTTTATAGTTAATTCCATGATTTCACTTACTTTGCTCTTGATTCTTAAGGCATTTTGAGGGTATGGTTCGAACCATTTTCTCAAAAGGATCTTAAATTGACTCACTCACTTCCATGTTGCCACCTAAAATATTTAATAAGGGTAGATTTTTTTGTCTTTGGAAAGATAAGAACTTTATTTGCTAGGGGATTATAATATAGGTTTCAAACTGTCAATCAGTTGAAGAATCTGGGATGTAATATATGGAAATTGGAAAGGCAGACTCTTATTGTGAAGCAAGCATTCTAGCTTATTCACATATATTGTTGAACCCATGATTTCATTGGTATCTAAAATTCCTTTAGGAGAGAATAGATATTTAACAACTTTTTCCTGATTTGAAAATTACTGCTTTCAGTTTCTAGATTTTAATAAAATCTTAACCCAAGAACCAAGAGAAATGTTTAAACTAAGAAAAAAATTGCTAATGAAGGGTTATAGAATTTAAACATGTGCTTAATGGTCCTGAGATGTCCTTAAAATATTTGCATCAGTATTGCACATTCTGTAGCAGAGCAAACAAAATGCAAAGAAATTCATGTTTATAAGTGATAAGATTTTAAAAAGTAATTTAAGCTTATTTCTTAATAGAATTATAACATCTTAATCTAAAATTTTATTTCTTATACATATATATGTATATTCACTTAATATTTACCTTCATATAACTATTTGCTTAGACATTTTATATAATTATTTCTTTAATGATAATGCAAACTGAGTCAGCATATTATAGCTGAATCATGGTCCTAGCTGTTCTTTTTATTCATTCAGTGAGCAAACTCTATATTATTAAAATTCCTTGTCCTTCAATTGTGCTGGCAAAGACTTGCTTTTTAGTTCTTGAATGCCCTAAGAAATTTGTGTTGAAAATTCTGAAGTATATACCTATTTTCAGTCTTTGGTATGTTAAGCAATAGAATGGAAAAATATTATCCACATCTTAATAGATGAATGTCTGCTTGTTCTCAGAGACCCTAGTCTCCTTTTAAAAAAATATTTTTAAGATTTATTGTTTTTAAAATTTGGTATTGAATTTGCATAAAGTGTAGATTGCAGCATGCTAGAATATTATAATCATTTAAGAACGTATTTATGGGTTTTTAGAGCACTGTCTCCAAGGGATTCTTAGCATTTGGTACGTAGTTCACGTATTTCTAGTCTACAGACTTACCCTATTGAGGCAAAGGCTTCATGATCCTGATTTTTTTTTCTACTGCTATAAAGCTCAGCAATGGTAATTAATGGTTGTGTGGGTTGTGTTTTTTTTTTTTTTTTTTTTGAAAAAAACTTTCCATGTCATTAAAGTAAAATTGAGGATTTTTGAAGACTAGTAATTTGTACCTTTAAACAGCCACATTATTTTGCTTTTGTCTCAGAATGTATTATGCTTCACAAGTATACTGTGACAGTCTGAATAGAAAAGGGGGGAGGGGACATTGTCTTCAACTGGCATGCTGTTATCAGAGGGAATGTGTTTCTGGACACGAGATTTAGCATTCATTGGTCGTCTGAAGAAAGCTATTTCATCTGAGGATTGGACAAGAAGCTGCGTCAATTTGCTGCCCGTCTCCAAGGCACTGGTGATGCTGCCTTCACAAGCTGGCTAACGTCACGGCTCCATCACCCAGCGGGGTGTGGACTCTCTTTTTCTGTTCTTCTCTATTTAATTCTCTATTTGCTGCCTACTGCATTTCTTAATCTGTCTTCTGCCAAATGCTAACAGCATGATATTTTGCAATCATCTAGGTGAATACAAGAAAGACGAACTCCTAGAAGCTGCTAGGTAAGTGATTCCATTCATTTTAAGTGAGTATAAGGCATTTAAGGGAGAAAAGGGGGAGGGCAGGTAGAGGACTATAAAAATTAAAGCATGTTATTGTCTTACTTGGATTTTATGCAATAATGTGGCTAAGACCTTATACTAAATCTTTGTATACTTTATTTTGCACAGTTAGTGTATTAAATGAGACTGTCTTTCAATATGGTGATGATTGTAAGGTTAATTTTATTTGGAACATTTCTTAAGGTACCTGCAAACCTGAGTTGCCCAGCTTTTCGGTTCATTTTCTAGGAGTATTTAAATAACTATATCTGTATTTTTCTCTGGAAATTTTTCTAGCCAAGCTTGAATGAGGGGCATAAAGTAAATGTTAAAATTCTCATCCATTTTCTTTTGTTCTTGGTCATTTATAATTTAATTGATTAGCTTTTTAAAACGTTTTGTAAGTATATTTAACTCGTGTTTTAGATCACTTACCAGACTAAAGTTTGTTTGTAATTAAGAACATGACTTTATGCAGATAAACAAAACAAATAATAATGTAGAAAGCTCCCGTATCTAAGATATACCACTGTATGATGATTAACAGGAATTAATTAGGAATATATTGATTGAATTGAATGAAGTATATATAGCAAAAGACATTCATTCAGAACCATATAAAAGAAATCAAAGAAGTCATATGATTTTCCATCCTGTTGTGAAAAATATCCATAAATATTCATAAGCACTGTAAATTTTATAGGAATTGACTTACTACCTTTTTGTAGGAGTGGTAATGAAGAAAAACTAATGGCTTTACTGACTCCTCTAAATGTGAATTGCCATGCAAGTGATGGGCGAAAGGTAAGTCATTTAAGATGTAAAATTCCCCTTCAATGATTTCTTTTTGCTTTACAGTTAAAATTTTTGAAGTTGGCATATATATGTGTGTGTGTATACATATATATACACACATATATATGGCTGCATTTCACTGGCATCTTTTCACTGTAAATGAAATGCTGTTGTATCTGTTATTGGCAGTTGTGACATATTCATAGAGCTGGTGAAGCAAGGATTTTAAGCATCTTCTCTTAAATGTCAGACACTGAAAGTTATTTGTTAAATGGAACTGCAGCTTTTTCGGTGATAACAATTATAACAACATATTATTTTCTGTGTGTGATAATGAAAATTAAAAATTTTTGTTTATGTCCTAATTACCCATCTTTGTTAGGATATATGTATTGTTTGTTTCTTTCTGGCAGAGGAAAATTTGTTTACTAGATAACCAATACTTTTTCAAGCTGAGAAAATGCTAATGATTTTTCAGGTCTGTTCGTTAACAGCCCTACTTTTTTCCCCCCCTCACTGGCTAAGTTTTTGTTATTATATATTGAAAGAAAGTATATTAGAGCAGTGAAGAATACCTGTATTAATATACACTTGTCATAGGTAATATATGAAATGTGCAGTTGGTATCTTCATTCTCTGCTTCGTATTCTTGCTGAATTTAGACTGAAAATGTAACCCTTTATAGCCTTTGGTATTTAATTGCAAAGTTTTGCAGTGGTTTACCTAAAAGTACTTTGTACTATAAAGTCTTTTTTAAATGATGATTAATTTTTTAATGTTAATGATGGCTTTTATATTTTTAAAACCTAAAACAATTTTAAAGTACACTGTAGACACTGAAGAAAATTATCTTGTACCTAATATTTAAATAATTAACTGCTTTGGAATTACTTATATAAAAAACATGCTATGGATGGTATCAGAAGGATGGTACCCCTTAGAAATGATGAACTGTTTTGCATTTTAAAAAATCATTTTTCTCTGATAATTTTATAGATTAAAATTATTCAGCTTTCCTTGACTGCCTTCACACTCTTATCCCTATTCTAATGAAATTCATATAATAGTGGCATTGAATTGAATCCTTCTGAATATATGTTGTTATTGAAGATGGCTTGAATATTATTTCGCATGGCCTAACATTTACCCATCTAACATGTCTCCATTTATCTCTGAATAAATGGAGAGAGACTTCTACTTTCCTGGAAAGTTAAACTGTGTATAAATTAAGCTATAAATTAGCAAAGATTTATTCAGTACTATGAATTACTTTTGGGAGATGTTTTCAAATGATAACTGCTCATTTTCTCTTCAGTTTTGAAGTTGCTTTGGAAATTTTAACTTTCTTGAGTTACTTTGAGTTCCAGGATTTGTTTAGATCCTCCTAGTAGATAGGTGACTTTTATCACTATGCAGAAAAAGACCGTCTTATCTGTAAGTGCAGCTATATCTTAAGACAGAATTCTCTGAGAACCCAGCCTGCTTCAGTTTCTCACAGCCGTTTTAATATTACAAAATTGATGTGAGATTACTGTAACAGAAGTCAGTTTCTATCCCAGCCTTATTTCTCCCTTCCTCACCCTTATACCTTGACAACCCTATTTCTGACTCAGTAAATTATAATAATTAAGGAGCGTGAACTCTGATAACTAACAAATTACTTCTTCTCTCTGCCTCAACCCTACACAAATAGATAGAACTTCTTTATTTTTTCTTCTCCCCAAAGGAGGAAACCCTTTCCTTATTCCTGTAGCTAAAACTAATACATTCCTCATTCAAATTCCTATGGTTCTTTTTCTGTATCACTCTGTGGCATTTACCACAGAGTTCTTGAATTGTAGTTATTCATACATATCTTTTTCTTCTACTCGTCTATTAGCTCTCTTTTGTACCAGACCATGCCTGGCACTTTGATGTAAAAAGCTTAGGCTACGAATATGCTCCCCAATGAACATAATTTTATCCTTTGAGTGAAAAAAAATCATCTGTACTCTTTGCCATATAGGAATTTAACTCAGAAGTGTATCAATGGGAAATTGTGTGTTTTCTGTTACTATATATTATTACTAGTATTATTTTGTTAATTTATTTTTGAGTAATTATAATACAGGGGAGAATTATATATCTTAATAGGTAGAACATTTTAAATGTCTCAAATATTATTATTATACTGAAGTCTCGTAACATATAAATAATGCAATAATTTTCCAAAATGTGCTCCTATACTTTTTTAGATTATCGATTTTCTCAAAGTATCTAGAAAAAGAAAATTAGACTTAAGCATTTATTAGGTTTTGGTGCTATGCATAAAACATAAAAAATCATTCAATACTGTTCATTGATATGCAAAATGCAAATAAAATTTCATGATTAAAATTGAATAATGTGCATATTTAGATATTACCCTACTTTATGGCACAAAGCAATTCTTATTAGATGGACCACTTGCACTGGAGCCATAGAATGGTAGATAATCTAGGTGCTGAGGGAGGCTGGGAAAAGATCCTTTAGCTATGAAAATCTCTTTGTTTTCTTGCTGTTGATGTCAAGAGAATGTGTAAGCAAATCTAGCTGCTAAATTATGAGTCTACCTGATATATTCAGTATTTTTCCAGGCCATTTAATTCATTTGTTTATCTAGAATTAAGGAAGTCAGATTGTATATTAACAAGAGGACACAGATGTTTTACTTATGTAGTAAGGTATATGAAGTTTCATTTCTTGACTTTGCATTTTAGAGCACAGTGCAGAATCAGATTCAGTTTAAAGGTTTTTAAATGACTGTCTTAATGCTTAACTGAATCTTTGGTTGGCTCTGTTACTATGATTCCTAGTTTGTAAATTTTAAAAGCCCATGGAAATGTTAGTTTTGAAATGTTTTTAGAAAAGAAGTGTTCCTTATACACTAACTAGTAGGTGGAGAAATTGCCAAGTTTTATGTGGGGGTTTTAGACTTCAGTATTCCTTTTTCAAGTAATATGTGGGCTTATACAATGACAGTGTAAATTTTAAATAGTCCCCTAATTCTATACTGTGACTTGATGGTTATCTAATTAAGTAATAATCTGAGCGGTTAAAACTTTGATTTCCAACAGACATTTGGTTTTCTAACCTGTAGAGTCTGAAAATAGTGAATAAGGTTTTAAGTAATTCGTATTGTTATATTTTATTTTACATGTAAATCAAAGCAGAGCTTGACTCCTCTAGAGATTTCCAGTTGTTGTTTTCCCTAAAAAGCAAAGGCAAAAAAGTTTTTAGTGATGTTTTGTTTTAAAATGCTACTTTCATTTAATTATATGTGTATTCTAATGCTGGCCATTTTAGAAACATAGGGCATTGATATAGTTAGACATAGCATTCCAGTTTCCTATTTTGAATTGTAGTGACCAGGTCCTTAAAACAGATTGCTTTCCTTCTATAATTCCTGTATTTTTGAACTTATGTTTCTTGTCCTTTAATCTCCCTTTACAGCATTTTCTGTCAAGATCAGATGTTTTATTAGCAATTATCCAAATATTCAAGTCTTGTTTGATATGTAAATTTAAGATGGTGGTCATCTTATTTTTCAATATTAATTTTTATGAGGATTTTACAGTGCATGAAAATAAATATTTGAATACATCTCAAATTATTCCAACACTCAACCCTTTTCAGAATCCTTTTAGGTCTCTCTGTGTCCCTTTCCTGATTGCCTTTATCCCCTTCCAAAATAAATAGCCTAAATTTATCCCCTCCTTATAACAAGGAATAGGTTGGAGTTTGACATTACTGTATGTATTCCAAAATATGTATCTTTGCATGTATTTTCTATGCCTACCATTGCTGTAACTGTACATCACTAAATATTGAAAGTAAGTAAAGTTTGGTTGGAATTTTTATTTTCAGTGTGATTTCTGGTGGTTTCTCTCTGCTCCTTTCGTTCATTCAGTCAACACTCAATACATACCATGTAGAGGTCACTATTCTAGTGTCATGGGAGCTAACTGTGTATTTAATATTATTGGTTCACTCGGAGTTCAAAATTGATGGAATGATTAAGATACTATCCTAGACATTGAAGCCAATGCCTAAAAATGTGATTCCTTTTGCTGTGATAGAGTTATAAAATGTAGATTTGAGGTGAGGGTTTTTTCCTAGCTCTTTTATTTTGACGGCATTAGTATTTAGACATGTATGCCCTTCTGTAAGAAACCACAAATTTAGATGAAAGACAACTGGAGAAGCATGTTTTAAATTCAGAAAGATTACTGAAGGGTTTCTTTAAATGTCAGATTTCTACTGTGTAAATGTTTGCTTCCATAAAATAGTTAATAATGAATAAGACTCTGGAAATGGAGAAAAGTAAAGTGTTTTAAAACTATTTTATAATGGAGGTCAATCAGAAGTAAAGTAGAGTTTAATACCATCCCTCGAAGATACCATAAAAAACTGTGTGATACAGTTGGAAGAGCAAATAGGCTTTGAGGCCAAACAGATGAATTCTATTCTCTGCTTATCTACTTTCTAAGCGTGTGGCTATGGCACTGCAGTTTTCAGTGTATTCTTTACCAAATAGGGATAATGATGCCCGTTCCACAAGACATTTGAGAGGATTAAATGAAATTATGTGATTAATATAACCCACAATAGAACTTCAGTAAATTAGATCCCCACTTCTTTGATACATTTTTTAAAGCTGTTCAACATATTTAGAATGTACATATACATACTTTTGGAGCTTCCCAGGTGGCACAGTGGTAAAGAATCCACCTGCCATTGCAGGAGACTCAGGGGGTGCAGGTTCAATCCCTGGGTTGGGAAGATCCCCTGGAGAAGGAAATGGCAACCCACTCCAGTGTTCTTGCCTGGGAAATCCCATGGACAGAGGAGTCTGGCAGGCTATAGTCACAAAGAGGTCACAAAGAGTCGGAGATGACTGAGTGAGCATGCACATACATACTTCTGAGTACTTTAACATTCCCCAGTTCTCCACTTAAGTTGTATATTATCCAAGCTCAGTCCTAGGTGGC